TCCACCACAATTTATCCTCACCTGGCTGTAGTCCAGTGAAAGTGTTCACAGTGTTTAAAAATTCAGCAACTCTCACTATTTCCCAATCATTAAGGTTTCTTCTGAAAATGAAATTCCATCCTTGTGGTGACCAAAGATCTGCTATAGTGCTTTGTTGAAACATGATTAGGTTGTAGATGTCTGGAAAGAGATCTTAAAACTTTGGAAAGTGGTATAACAATGTTACTAAAAGAACAATGTATGTCATTCTTGGGATATCACAAACGAGGACACAAGTTCAGAATGTTGGGAGTACTTTTTATTCATTGGAATAGTTGGTTTGCTTCTTTTATAAGGTATCAACTCCTACTTCCAGCGAAAATCTGTCCTTTCTGTTTTTATTTTTCCTGGGTTTTAGTTGGGGTTGGGCAGAGAGTTGAGCATTCTACTTTGCAAGATATTACTAACTGGCAACTTGATAGGTTAGGATGCTTATGTTCCTGTATTTTTTGTTTAATGCTCAAGCTAAGCAAGTCACTTCTAATTAGGACCATATCTATATTAGTGAGATATGTATAGCAATCTCACAGTTACTATTCTCAAAATATAAAATAGCATAGCTATCTTAAATAGTTTCCTTAAAACAAAAATGTTTTTTATTTATCCAACTTTCTGGACATTTTCTGAGATTGAGAATGTTGCAAGCAATTGAAAGGGAAAGGAGGTGAAACGATTGAATGAGGATAAACCTTTCAAGTTTCATCAAAGTCAAACTTAAATTTTTCAAGTTTAACCTTAAAAATGAGTAGGGTAGGATGATGAAGCATACTACATGACCTTGTTGGATTTTCTTTTCTTTTCTCTCTATTCCGAATGCTCATCATATTCTTCAATTGGATCTTCAAGACATTCTTGACAAGAACATTTAATGTCCTATGGATAGTGACCTGTGAATGGATCTTTGAACCACCATACACTGTTACATTCTGAATTGAAATGTTAATCCAGTGTTTCCGCAAGGCCTTGTAATAACGGGAATCATAGAATGATAAACATTATAGTAGAGATTTCATTATGGCAGCGAAAGCCTAGCATTAATTCAGTTTATGCACTATAGTAGAAACAACTACTAAAAGCATTTAACACCCTACAGTCATTTAAGGATCAATCACCCATATATTAAAGGAAAAATCAAGGGAGAATTTAGCTAGATGAAGACATTTTATTATACCATAATTTTTGCAAAGGTTATAAGATGTTTTCCAACTACTACAAAGGCTCTTTATACAAGAGATGGAAAATTAGTACTTCACTTATTGAATATATATAGTACAAGTGGAATTCAAATAACATGAATAGTAGTCTTATACACATAAAAGACATAAAAACTTAATGCTTGAAAAGTAATAGTGAGGAATCTCTGACATTGTAGAGACTTAATAGGTAATGGGCAAGACATAGGAAATGATAGGGATTGTTCATGAACTAGAGAACAAATCATAGGATAGAGTTATTAAGCACGTCAAACAAGACAAGTGATAATTGGATGTTATGGCAAAAGGACCCTGGAATAATGATCTGCATGGCACGAGATAATGGAATGTTGTATAAAGAGACGGGGTATTGTTTTTTTTGGAATTGAACCCATCAACAGTGATTTTCATGGCTTGGGATGATGGAGTTTTTATGGCAAGACATGGGATAATTGGCTTTTATGGTAAGGGGCCCATAAATAATGTTTTGCATGCATGCAATAGTGAGATTTAACAACAAGATGTGACTAGACAAAAGATAGTGGACAAACATGGAGACAAGACACGACTAAACAAAAAATGGTGGTCTTGAAAGATGGGATTTGGATTTTAATTGGAAATTATGGTGATATAAAATGGCTTGGGCCATATTTCTTCTCTCCTATGATACACTTGTTTTGTTGGAAAATTATTTTCTGAGCTTTGGAGTACTCTTCATTGGGCCATATTTCTTCTCTCCTATGATATAGGATAAGGCAATTCTGGAAGCTAACAACAACAACATACCCAATGTAATCCCACAAGTGGGGTCTAGGGAGGGTAGGTTTTACTCCAAACTGGATATGAGTAAACCATGAATTTTCCATTTTCTAGAAAAATCATTCAGAATTTGCAAAGTGATGAATTGTTCTCATGGAGTTGTAAGAATAGAATGTTGATTGAGTTCTGAAGCAACAACATAATCTCTTACTCATGTGGGCCTGCATTGGACCAAGGAACGAATATGGATCCATGGGGATAGTTACTTCTTGGCAAAAGCAGAATAAGGAATATAAGAGGACATGGATGATACTTTTTGCTCTTGGTAGGACATCAATTTCATGCAAGTAATATTTTTTTGAAAGAGTAGAAGACATCAATATTTACACGAGAATGAACAAGGTTGGAAGATGAAGATGTTTCCGGCATGATCTTACAAACAACCTCTTCCTCCAAACTAAGGGGTTTGGCTCTCATACCACAAGGTCAATCTTGGCTATGGAAGAAGAATATTTTAAGATCAGAGGATAATGACTAAGTGCATTCCAGAGGAGATAACCAAAGAAGAAGGGAGTTGGGATTATACTTCTAATTATCCTTATTGGGAAAATGTAAAGGAAGCACTCAAGAAGTATTATGCAATTTTTCAAGATTCTCAAGAGTCAAGACCTAAACGGAATTGATGCTACAGAATTTGTTAGGATTAATTTAAATGGCAGGCATTTTTGACCCTTTTCCGTAATTGTTATCATTCCAGTACTACAGTCTACATTCACCCCTTGTGGGTCACTTGAACTGCCAAGGAAGGTGGAATCTGCAGCACAGGGGGTTATCTGTCTTCTGGCCCCTGTTACACTATTGATATCCCTTCTTCTAGGGCATGTTCTCACCTTCAGAATGCTTAATTTCCATTTTGTTTATTTTTTATGTCCATTTTCTGTTGTTGGTGAAGTAGATATTTACTTTGATGCCTTTGCACTTTTTCGATGGTCTCCTATTGTTTTCTGCGTATCAACAATAATCTTGTAGACTAAATCGCCTAACTATTTAGAGGTATTGATGTTAAAGCCCGTAAATGATTACGCAGCTGTTCATGCATTTATGCTGGAAGCATGTGCATTATCTCCTCTTGCAAGTAGAGATTAGGCCAGTTTGTTGTAATTTGGCATGATTTTTCTGCACTGAAATAGTGATTAGTTTGAACTTTGGATGTACTCGATCAAAGATGCCAATTGACCAAATATCAAATAATGAGAAAGGGAATGTCTATTTCTTGTTTCCATGGCAGGAGATTAGTTAAGTTAGTTGTGTTTAGTGATTTTTTTTTTACAGTACAACAACAACTATACCTTAGTCCCTGACAAGTTGGGGTCGGCTATATGAATCCCCACTTCTTCATTTAAGCTCATTTCTTGCATCCAGCTGACTTCTCTGCTTTTGCATGTCCAAGGTTCTTGTTGTTCATATGTTGTTTAGGAGTTTGATTGTTTTGGCTGTTGGGATTTGTACTGCAGGCACTTTTACTCTATCCAACCTTGGGATGTTTGGCGTTGACCGTTTTGATGCCATCTTACCGCCAGGAACTGTAAGTCCCAGTCATAGATACTCATGTGTTTGCTATATTTCCTCCTGCCTGATATGTGAATACTTCTGGTATTGTTTCTCACATTGGTTCAACTCTTGTCTAGGGTGCAATCATGGCTGTAGGAGCATCTCAGCCCACACTTGTTGGCACCAAAGATGGTCAAATTGGCATGAAAAATCAAATGCAGGTAGAATGATGATTTATGTTTGCTCTTGGCATGCTAGTTCTTTTTCTCAAATAAACGTTTAGGATTATGCAATTATCAAATGCTTAAATTATAAATTGTTAAAATATTTCAGGTCAATGTCACTGCTGATCATCGAGTAATATATGGTGCTGAATTGGCGGCTTTCCTGCAAACCTTAGCACAGATAATTGAGGATCCTAAAGACCTTACTCTTTAGGCTCTTGTCCTCATTGTGGGAGATTAGATGTTTTGTAGTGTAATTTGCTCGAGTTTCAGCCAGGAGCTTCATGGAGTGGACAGAAAACGATATGCTATAACATCTGAAGCATCATCTTAGTCACAATTCAGAAGATGAATGGAAATGGATGGTTAGAGGTCATTTTTTCGCATGGTTAATCTTTTCTTTTTATTGAAGTGTAAACTCATGAGGACATTTTTCATGGCTGCGATAAATTATGGCCTCAAGATGAGCTCTTTGTTGCTTCATCATTCAAATATTGTTGCAAAGAATGTTGCAAAACTTTCTATTGATTCTATATTTAAGAGTGTTCTGCAATTTCAGTTCTATCTGCAGTTCACTATTGCCATTAGAAAATTACTTCTTTTCGTGCTTCAATATGCCATTTAATATGATGTTCCACAAGAAAAACAACTAAGACAAGGGCTGTGTCAGCACCTTCCTTTTGTGTTTTTTCTTATAAACATGAAAACCCCAGAAGTGTCGTGATAAGTAATCATTTTTTTTTTCAATTTTTATACAATCTTACCAAATAAGCACATTACAATTCATAAGCATGATTTCAAAATATTCTAAGATGCCACATTGATAAATCACACATTTTTATGTTTCATTTATAAATAAATGTTTACAATTACAAGTTTTTTTAATGCACATAAAGATCAATTAGTCAACAATAGTAATAACTAATTTTAATAATCCTTTCATGTGGTTAGATTAATCTTTTCACGTTCACCATGAGTTTTTTTTTGCAAAATATAAAATAATGGGTCTTTTTTTCAAAAGATAAACTTATGGGATCAAATTATACATTTTAAAAAAAAACTTGAAATCATAATGTGGAATCCCAAATTCTGCTTTTTGAAGGATTAGAAATTTAAAATTATGATCTCAAATCGTATGTTCAAACACCTACTTAATTTGTCTTTAAACATGAAAATGTAAGGGATTTGATATACTAAGGGGGTGTTTTAAAGAAGTTTTGTTATACAAATTGGATTCACTCCCAAAGACCTTTTATATATAATATATATATATATTACACATGAACAAGAAAAATGGACTATGTTACACTGAGAACTAACATCATATTCAAAGTTATGTAACTACTATCATCATATATCTATATGTTTACATTAATATAATATGTATAAACTGGCAAAACTGGCATATTCTGCATAGCTCACAACACCTTCACCACTTGCAGCTCCTCCCCAAAAGAAAAAGAAGAAAACCATCTTGGCTGTTTTCTCCTTAACTTTCCTTTGACATCCGATTACCTTGCATGGAGAAGCACTCGAAGCACACTCTTCATCTTTGGCCGGCCTTCTGGTGATACACTGACACAAGCTAGAGCCAATTTGAGGACTGCTAACATCTGGCTCCTAATGTTGAGCGATGTCTTAGAAATGCTAGAATCCAGAATGTGATCCCACTTGCTGTGCTTCTCAGAGTTGCTCAGCACTGACTTGGCTAACTCGGTTCCCTGACTAACTGCAGGCCTTCCTGTCAACAATTCCAGCAGGACAACCCCAAAGCTATATACATTTCCAGCCATTGTGACTCTCATTGTGTATGCATATTCTGTAACACAAAAAGGAAATGCATCACTTAATATATGCTCAACTTTGAGGCTTCTCATGTTACATTTTAACCCGCTCCTCCCTCTCTAGGCTATACTGACACACTGTTTCACTTTAGATATCGAAAGACAGTTCAACACCGTTTCATGGTGGGAGGATATAATGAAGTGTTTAAGTTCGAAAACAACAATAACTATATGAAGATTAAACACAAAAAGATGAGTTTAAAGCATGGTACGACAGTTAGGACAAAAAACGTCACATTACCCTTAAGGAGTATAAATCAATGTCGAAGGATCTTAAACTTTAACCATTAACCAAGTAATAGTTCATTACCTGGAGGAATATAACCGACAGAACCAGCAACAGCAGAAAAGCTGCCTGTGCTCTTCGAAGGATCCATCACCTTGTAGAGTTCAATGTCTCCTATCTGAGCCTCATTCTGGGACTTCAAGAGAATGCTCTTGCTGGAAAGGTCGAGGAGGAGGATTGGACCCTTTTCACATCCATGAAGAAAAGCTAAACCCTGAGCTACTCCAATAGCTATGCTGTAGCGACTTGCCCAATCTAACGAGTAGCCCAAGCTACCACGAAGAACATCATATAATGAGCCAATGGGGGCAAATTCGTAGAAGAGATAAGCACTATCAGCAGCCAAAAGATAGCCTAGTGGAATCATGACATTTGAATTATTCAGCTTTCCAATATTTTTTAGCTCTTCCCCAAATAGTTCATGGCTTCCCAACTGAAATATTTTGTCACTCCAATTAAGCTTCTTGACAAAATAGGTTGTACCTGATGGCATAACAGCTTTATAGTAGGTTGAAAATCTTGTCTTGAACACAACATTTGAGGGATCAGACACTGCTACCATTGCCTTTGTGAAGTCTATATTTGACTTGTGAATGCTGTTTGCAGTTAAAACCTTTCCCTGAACGACAGGGGATTGAGAAATTTCTAATCCTGAGTGAAAATGTTCATCATTGATCCTGTAATATCTTCTAGAGATTGAAATAGCAATCACCACGAAAACGGCAATTGTTGCTACACATGCAATTGGGACAACAACTGCAACAACTATTGATTTTCTCTTTTTTGCAGCAGCTTGTGGTGGCACAACTGGGGAAGGATAGATCAGACCCCCATTTCCATCTGTCTCAACACTGACAAAGCTTCCAAACTTTGGAACAACTCCAGACAGTTGATTGTTTGAAAGCACCAACCTAGTCAAGCCTCCCATTCCCGTCAGGTAGTCTGGAATCTGACCCGAGAACCTGTTGTAAGAGAGATCCAAAACTTCCAATGAAGTCAATCTAGAAAAACTACTTGGTATAGGTCCTTGAAAAAGATTGTGACTCAGATTCAAAGAAATCTGTAAACTCAAAGGCATATCAGGAATAGGCCCACTGAGTTGGTTCCCTCCAAATTGGAGTTCTAACAGCACATTTAAGTTACTAATGTCAACCGGAATTCGACCACTTAGATTATTCCCCTGCAAATTCAAGTTTGTGAGACTTCTCAAACTTGATAACGAACTTGGAATGGAACCAGTCAATGAATTCGAGCTGAAATTGAGCCTCTGCAATCTGTTCAACTGTGAAATGTTACTTGGAATTTCTCCAACTAGATTATTGGACTGAAGACTCAGTACCTGAAGATTAGAAATATCACCCAACTCAACAGGAATAACACCACTCAGCTTATTCTGGGCTAAGTTCAAAAGGGCCAGCTTTTGGCACTTTCCCAATTCAGAAGGAATTGGTCCAGTTAACTGGTTGTTGTCCAGTTCCAAGTAGGTCAAACTTTGAAGGCTTTCAAAAGAAGCAGATGGAAATGACCCATTCAAAGCATTTTGCCCCAATCTCAACCTGATCAAATTTATCGACATGTTTGAAGGAACAGGTCCCTCTAACTTATTGGAAGTGAGATCAACAAACTGCAAATTCATTGGGAATAAGAGGTCCTGAGGAATAGTACCATTTAATCTGTTAAAACTGAGGTCCAAATTCCTCAGGTATGTGGTTATACCAAAGGGTATATTTCCAACAAAATTATTCTGATTTGCAGCAAAACGCGTCAGCGTTGTGATATTCCTAAGGGATTGTGGGATTGTGCCACTCAAATTATTGGCTGACAAAATCAAAACTTGCAATTTGGAAAGTTCACCTAATCTATCAGGAATTACACCAGATAGGCTGTTTAGAGATAGGTCAATCAAAGTTAAGTTGCCAAAGTTCACAATTTGAGTGGGGAATTCACCTTCAAAAGAATTTGCAGAAAGATGAAGCTCCTCCAGAAGAATAAATTTTCCAAGACTGGTAGGAACTGGACCATTAAACATGTTAAAGCTAAGGTTCAAACTCTTGAGTGAGTCTAATCCATCCAACTGCAAGTCAACTTTCCCATTCATGTTATTGTAAGAAAAGTCCAAAGACTCCAACTTTCCAAAACCAGTGAAAGTAGGCAAAAAACCCCCCAATTTATTCCCACTAAAGTTCAACAATTTCAACCCACTAATTCCCCCACAAACAGTGATGAACTCATTTGGGATAGAGCTCAAAAAGTTTTGGGAAACATCAAGAGACTCCAAAGTATCAATTTGACAAATAAAAGGCAAGAATTCAGAGCTAGAAATAGAGAACAATGAAAAGGTGACTTTGGTAAGGGAAGAATTATTAGAATTGCAAGAAACCCCTTTCCAAGAACATGGGGTTGAAGCTTTATCAGTTCCATTCCATACAAAAGAAGCACCAGTATCATTCTGAAACAGATCATAGACACTTCTCATGACATTAATTTGATTTGGGGGCAATTGAGAAAACACAATTTGAAGAGAAAAAGACAAGAATATAGTAATAACTATATGGGGAGCATACCTTAAGTTCATTTTTTTTTTGTTTTTGGCTTTGACAGTCAGAAAGCTGAAAACTTCAAGAAAATGATAATGGGTTTCAAGAAAATCTATGTACAAGATTTGCATATACTCTCTGAGCTCAGGTGAAATAAGGGGAGGGAACAAAGGAACAAATGTTTTGTGTTTCATATGCATAGAGAAAAGAATGGAGAAAAAAAGGAAATTTTGTTGGGCACTTGGTTGTGGGGGTAAGTGGGGTAGG